CTCCCCGTTCCGGGGCGGGGGTGCGGGAGGCCCGGGCGCTCGGCTGTAAGCTGGTCCGCGGCCGGTCAGCGGCACAGGAGCTGGGGCGAGAGCATGACCCATTTTTCGAGCCTCTCCCGGGTAAGAGAGGCCTGACGTTTAGTGCGACAGCAATTCCGGTGTTGAAGAGAAGGCCGATGGCGTTTAAAGGACGAATTTGCCTCTGTGGATTCTGATCGACCCAGCCCCCTACGAGCCTACTTTCTGTTCCGCGCTCCCATGCTTTCTGTGACTTCCTCACCAGGACTAAGTTGAGAAGAGGTAAGTATGTTAGGATTGTCTGCAAATCCATTGTTTAGTTATGTGAAAAGACATCTTAGAATAAATTAAATGTAAACAAACACCTGACCCTGAGGAATCATCACCTCAGTAGGTTGCTATCACTGGACCTGAGGGTCTTAAAGTTCAACAGAAATACTGCCGAAAGGCCAAAGGGACAAAGTGCTCCGAGGGCATGTAAATGTATATTTAAATAGATGTATTAACACAGCCCAAATCTCTTAAATAGAATTTTTCTTAAGTATAAAAGAAGTCATGTTAGTTACTTTCCTCTCAGTGATTTTGCACAGGCATTAACGTAAGGGTAGACTGTTGCTTTTTGCATCCATATGTTCACACTGAAAACAAATCTGTTGCTCCCAGCCATAAGGGAGCAGTATCATAATTCTGCATACTGTAAATAGGCCTAGTTCCCTTTTTTTGTTTTTTTTTCCCCCAAGTTCAAGTGTTGCTTAATAGCAACATGACTTAAATTTTCATGTGCTAAATACCCTTTTTAAAGGCTCAGGTACCTTGAGAAGACACTGTCTGATCTTAAAGCTGACTGTTGTTTCTTTGCTGTTTACTAGGTAACATAATGGCTGCTTTGTTGGGTAAATACCTACTTCCCTTTTTTTTCCTATCATTCTCAATGCTCCTTACAAAGTAGAGGGGAGCAGTTCGTTTTGCAGCTATTTGCTGGGAACCTGGGAGTCCACAGCTCTTCTGCATGCTCTCACTACACTGTGTTTACAGCTGCACTGGGGGCTGGGAAATACGAGACTTTCTTACAGAAGTAGAGTTCCTAATTTTTTGTACATAGCACATGGGTTCTGGTGTGGGGGGGAGGCAGAGAGAATTCTTGAGATGAGAATGGGTGGAGAGCAAGCGACTGGTGTCTTCAGGGCTATTACCTAGTCTGGGAGGTGCGGGCTAGTAACTGCTACTTTTCATAAGAGATTGCATGAGGGAATAGAACTACTGCTACGGAAGGTGGCAAGAACATCAGATATTCTGGCTTCATCCTGAATGAGGGATGAGGAAGAGCAAGAACTGGATTTTCAGGTGAAAATGTAAGGAAATAAGTTACTTTCTGCTTCATTTCAGCATCACAGTACCTTGTAACACATGGAGAATTTTATTTTTTGTCAGCCCTGCTCATGCCTTGGTGCAGTCTTGCTGTCCTGTCTGCAGCGCTCCTGGATCATCAGAGGTCACATTTACTTGAGCAGGGACAATTTAACAAACCGATTTCATCACTCCTGTTGTAGGTAATAGACATGAGGGACAAAGTTGCAACTCTGTTGCTGGATTCTATAAGCTCTTCCAGTTCATTTTGGAGCCACTTAAACCAGGTGGAAACTAGATCTCATTCTCAATGACTGGTTTGGGGCAACCATAGCTTGCTGTGAAGTCGTCAGGTCTAATGAAACAATAGCACTCATGGGTAATCTCCATAGAAAGGAAACTTTGGTTCATTTACATTTGTTTCTTTATTCCTGGGTCTGCACTTCTCACCTGTGCATGTTCAGCACATAAGGTGGGGACTCAGTTCCCCTTTCCACTCACAAGGGACCAGCTGACCTGTGTGGGGAAAAAGCTTTTTCTGAGTTTCACTTTAAGTCCGATGGCATTATAGTCCCCTTCTGGAGAAGAGAGTAGCAGGATTTGAAGCTTCACTGATTCTTCAGTGCTCACAAAGTTTTTCAAACAATGTACTTCAATAGAAAAGAGACTTACTCCACTAGTGCAGAGACATGAAGTATGCCTGCTGCACATAGGTCGAGACAACAGAGGTGACGACAGATCTAGAGTGTAGATGAGCAAACTGTATGTGTTTATTCCCAGTTGACTACACTGAAGCTAGGGTTCTCAAAAAAATAATATTATATATGTAAAAATTCTGTTGCTAATATGAAAGCTGTAAGTGTATGTCAAAATCTAATTAAAATGTTCAATATTAAGAGTATGCATTGCCTTTTTTAAACTCTGAAATATATAAAATATTTTGTCTCTGAGCATCTCTTCCCAAAATAATGGGGATTTATGAGCAAAGACTTATAGATACACAGTCATTTCTCCTCCCCCAAAGTAAATTACAGGTGGGCTCTAAATACAAACCTGCAGTCCTGTGATTCCGCTTCTGTGCATGTCACAGCATATCCAGTTAATGGAGGTAACTAGTGATACATCTGTAGAATAAAACTTTGTGCACACCAGTTTGCAAACCTGTTATGAAATACACTTTTATTTATGTTTAGTTGTGAGCAGAGAGGTACATTTCAACCACATTCTGATGGAGGCTTACATGTTACAGAGCTTCTGTGGTTTAGTGCAATAGTTTGTCCTGACCTTCTCCTGGACACAGTCACTGTAATCAGTGTTACATTTACCACACTTGCAGCTCACAGCCACAGGGTAGGAGTAGTAAGGGATTGTGTGATGCGGACAGCCCGGAATCAGTGCTGTTTGATAGAACATCTCTTTATATGTGCACACGTTCTGAGACAGAGCACTTCTGAGTAGCAGCTTCTTGCCATTGCTGTCCTACAAAGAGAAAAAACCGCATTGTTTCACTGAAGCGTACATGAGTGCCTGAAGACTTCCTCTGCCATTTTCTGAAATGTGCAGAAAGCAAACCTCTTCACACTTAGACTAGCTCTGATATTTTCAGTGTACTTCTGTTCAGATCTGTAATTTTGAATCTGCATGTGACTGGGGCTCTCTACCCCTGCAGATATGTTTTTACTAATGTGCTTGGCTCAGAGTGCCAGGAATGCTTTGCAGTGGGTGCTGGCTACCTCCTGACTGAGGTGGAACTTGAAATGCTACGTTGAACAGTGAAGTTCAAGTGCAGTGTTTGGCATATGCCTACCTGCAAGACATTCTCCCCAGCCAGCTGTCATAACAGTAATGGGGGTAGAAGCTACCCAAGTCATTTAAACAAGAGTGACTAAATATAATCTGCTTCTCACCTGTTCCATTCTGACCCCACAAACTGACTATGGAGGCAGCAGAGACAGCAGCTCTCTGCTGTGCCACTGATGTCATAACCTCTAGTTCCAGAACTTGGCATTTCTCAGCCATACCTTTGCCAAAAGCTAACCTGAAAACCTGATGATGGTATGGCTTTTCTGTCTGTGAGAAACACTATTAGAATTGGATCATTTACACACAGTTTCCCAGGGAGAACAGGCACTTGTTTTGCAGTGATGGCCATTATAGCAACAACTGCCCAAAACAGAGTAAACGCCTTGTACCCGAGTCATGCAAAATCCAGCGCAGATGGTGGTGTTGATGGCCAGGCAGTAGGCACATTCCCTTTTCTCCACGTGGATTATGTACTCAGAAGGAGCACAAAGTGATGCTGTTTGACCGAAAGTCAGGCCAAAGAGGAGAGACATCACAAAGAAGGGACTCATGCTAGATGGGGGAAAAACAAACAAACCCGAAGTAAAATCAGATGTACTTCCCAGCCCATTTCTCAGATTTTGACAAGAATATTTATGATAGTCACAAACTAGAAGTAATCTTAACTTTTCTAGTTACAGCCTAACAACTTCTTTCCAATCTCAGACCTTTAACTGAAATAATACTAACCACTAAACAGAAAAGAAGGGTAAACAGGCCATTAACAACATGTAACAAGTTCTCTTTCTTCCCACTAAAGCATATTACATGGAACTTTTCACTAATGAGTGATAAAATGCTGACACACACAAATAACAGGAGCTAAAGGATTTGAAAATGTGACATATGTGAGAGAACATGAGATCTAGAATTAACCAGAGATGCTAAAATAATCTCACTGGTTTAAAAATAATTTTATAAAGCAAGCACCTTATAAAATGTTCGAGAGAGAGTAAAAGAAACAGCAGTGCATATCAGTCATACCACTATATTTTTTACTTTCCAGTTGGCATAGAGGCATGATGAAATGGGAACACTGCCAAGAATTAAATAACAGATTCAAGCAAATTACAATAAAGAATATCAGCAAAGAGTTCAAATCAATGAATCCCCACTTTATCTGTCTGTTGTGCTGATCGCATTTCTCAGACCTGCTGGGGGATCCCGAGAACAAAGCTTTGGTTAGCTCTGAGACAATTCCAGGGTCTACTCCATAGCCTCTAAACTACAGACTTTAAATGACAGTGTCTACAAACACATGGACATCACCCTCTAGTCTCGTCCAGCTGTCAGTTTCCCACAGCAAAAGCCATTCATTACAGTCTGGTTTACCCTGTAGCTGCAACAGTGCAAGTCTGGAAAGACCAACCTCTCGTCAGCTGAATTCTTCCCTATTACAGGAACCTGATTCTGCCTTGAGCTGGGAGAGGCAGTGACCCAGCACGAGCTCGGTGTGTGCTTTATACTCTCCAGGCTAATTCCAGGCTGATCTTACTGTTTATATAATTGCATCTGAATTGCTGCTTTCTTATCGCAAAGTCATCTATTGAAAATTCATACTGAACCACAAAGCAAATGTGATAGGAACAAATGTGTCCATAATATCCTAACCTGGAAACTGGAGCTGGAAATCTAATTATTTTAACAGTCATGCTCTCCTTAGGCTTTTAAACTAACCACTGCTTTAAAAAGTTATTATTGATTAATTTAATCGCTACATAGGACAGCAACATCATGACAGGAAGGCTAGCATGGACATTGAGTCATCCTGAATCACATATGACTGATTCTACACCCATGTTTTGCAAAAGTTTAATGAAGCCTGGTTCACTCTATTTGCTCGTCACAGGCAGGCACTGAGAGATGCAGTGCTGTACACATGAAGTCACAAATCTCAAAGCAATTGCTCTGCAGTGCGAGTAGGTACAGCCTGACTTACCTGCGCAAACAAAACACACTGAGAAATCATCTGGCCTTGAACCTACTGAGCAAATACTGAGGTAACAAGCAATTCACTCTGAAATACTAATTGATAGAGAAAAACTTTTAAGAATCCACTCCTTGTAGCACAGTGAGAAACACAATATTGCACCAACACCAGTGAAACTGATATGTCCACAGATGAGGGAAAACCACTTGCATTTAGGGCTCTCTGGAACACCTGGGAGGAGCAAAACTAAGAAAGGGTTGACAAAGCCACCATCCTCTACTGCTTCATCAGTGTCCAGCATCCTCACTGCAGGTCTGTGAACACCCACCCCTCCAGTTAACCACCTTACAGCAACTGGGATTTGATCTGAGGTATGGCTTGTGCAGGTCAACCACATTCTTGAATTACATAGCCATGAGACATACGATAAAACTGAGCCTAGCTGGTAATCATGGTCACTTTGGGCTGCTGGAGGAGTGATCCAGTCAGCCCCAGTTGGTGCTTAGCTAATTCCTGAATAACGTCTCCTTGCCCTGTGGTTTCGGACTGCTGCACACAGCTTTGTGTCCTGGGCTAAGTCTCCAAGGGGTTTATTTGGATAACACGATAGGGTTCTTGTTCTATTAAGACTAGCCAAATGCTTTCTGTTTTCCTGGAGTCTTTAATTCTGGTTTAATTTCTCCCATATAACTTCTCAGGAATTAAATATAACTCTTTCTGGCTTAAGGACATGAGCAGAGTTATTAATTGTGCTCTCAGTAACATCTGTCCATCTACACTTAGCAACAGAAGTACAACACTGTTATTTTGCTACTACTCCAATATATTTAACTATTTTTTTCTGACATATTATAATTGCAGGTAAGCAAACATGCTGTATGAGTACATGCATACATACACCCATATGTAGATAATGTGTATATACACACACAATATATATATAAACATATACAGTGTATATATATATGTATAGGTATGGTTGTTTAAAACTTTAATCACAGAAAATAATGTTTGTTCTTGGATACTCTTAAGAGTATTTCAAAGGAGACAAAGATCCTGAAAGGAAAAGGAAGCAATTTGTAAAACTAAATCCTGGAGGGAACAAAAAGGGCAAAATAAAAATTTTAAATAAATAAATAAATAAATAAATAAAACCCAGCATTCCTAAAGCAAGAATATCCCACAAGACCCTTGCATGCACAGCTGAAGCAGGTACAGCTGATTCTTTTCTCTAAAGGTTTCACAGTGATTTACAAGCCCAGCTTTAGGCAATTGGAACTATATTTGTACCCACTGGCCCTGACAGGAAGACCCTCACTCCAGGTTTAAAGTGTCCTCAACGTATCCTCTAAGAATATAGGCAGAGCACAGATCAGAGTATGAAGGCATATATCCTTTGCTGCTTCAAAGTTCTAAATTTCTATGTTTTGAGCAAAATGGGTGTAAAGCGGGGTGGGGGGGGTGAGAAATTCAGATTACAGTTAAAAAGGATTAAGAATTTGTTTAAACAAGATTTAGGGAAATGTCTGCAAACCAATAGTGAAGATAAATATAACAATGCTTGAAAGTCTATTATAGTGAAGATGAAAAAGAGAATGCAACAATAAAAACTATAGCAATAATAAAAGGGAAAACAACAATCACTGTTAGAAGTGAGAAAATGTCACACAGGAAGCTAGAGACTAGGAAATAAACTTCTGTCAGTACAGGGGCCGAGAGTAATGCCAAGGGACATTACTAGATGAAGACAAGCTGTTGATGCAGAGTAAGTGCAAAGTCTTCAGTGTATGGATGTGCCTATGAAAATGTGGTGGCTGAACAACCAAGACACACATTTGCAACAAAAATTATTAAATAAATTATATAAGGAATAAATATTTTAATATCACATCATTGGCTAACTAACGGTAATTTCAGCATGTCTTGGAATACTGAGGATATTTCAAAACATTAAGAAAAATGCTAACATTATGCCAATATTTAAAGAGAGAATGTTGACCTAGGTAACTCTCAACCAGCCAGCCTAACATCTATCCCTGATAAATCAGGTAAAATAACAGAAAGTTGATACAGGATTTGAGCAATAAAGAATTAACGGATGAGAACATAATTAATGCCTGTCAAGATGGTGTTACATAAAATAGGTCATGCCACACAAACCTGATTTCATTCTTTGAGGTGATTACAAATTTGGTTGTTAAGGCAACTACGTGGATGCAATGTCCCTAGTTCCATCTGTCCAGAGCCCTACTGTCCTGAAGATTTAGAGCTGTTAGGCAGAGTCCAAAGTGGTGTCTGCTGAATGTCAGGAATTATTAATCACTGGAGCAGGTAGCATAATTTCAGCGGTGCATTTATTCAACTGTAACTTTTTTACCCAGCCTCTGAATGCACTGCAGTGTGTTACAGAAATACCTGACCAACTCATACTCAGGTTGGCACCTCACAGAACCTCTTGGCTACCACCTCTTCTCTGCTGGCACCACGTTAGCCTGCCCAGCTCGCAGAGATGCACGAGCATCACCCAGAGGGATAACACCTCGCACCTCTTCAGTAAATTACACAAACTGTGAAGCTGGTACAACTTCTCCTTGATTGTCCTTCTGGATAGGACCATTCACTAGTGACCTCTCTGGAGACATGGCGGGAGTGAGAGCCCGCTACCTGCTGGGAGCAGCAAGGCAAAAGACGGTGGCAGGACAGCAAAATCCAGTGTGGCAATCTATGAGTGCCAGAGGCTTCCTTCCTGCAGTTTCCTAAAATCCACAGTTACAAAGTCTGATGCTTATGGATCCATTTCTTTGGTTGCCCCGCTGCTGACCTGCAGACCATTCTGTGATAGAAATTTTTAATGTCGGTTTACAGCCATCAGCTTTGTAGCTCTGTTCTGGCACAGCCAGTTACACTGTTAATTATTTATCTTTAACCTTTCTGTTAACTAAACTAATCCACTCACTGACATCAGTTATTTTACACTTTCATGAAGTGAAAGACAGTATGCTGATGTTCTACAAGAAGTGTTTGAAATTATCTCTGTAAACAGATTTTAGTAGTCATAAAACTCTTGTGTTCATTACCCAGGAATCTCTGTAATGGGCTAGAGAAATTCGGTGCATACCAGAAGCTTTTATGTAAAAGTAATTTAATAGGATTCTCTGTCACTGACTAATGCCTAAGATAAAAGTAGGAACAAAGAGAAGTTATTGCACTTTATTCCTACTCACTCTTCCCCCGTTAGTAGTACAACACAATGAAAACGTTGTGATTGTTAACTTATAGAGCACAGTAACTCTTGTTTCCACCACATAGAGCACTGTGGATACTAAAATAAAAACATGTCCATGCTTGTAAACAATAGAGAATTAGAAGTTGTGCTGATGAAAAACAGACAAAGCCAATCAGATTTCTAAAACATTAGTATTCGGGTAGAGGAATTATTTCCAACCGCATCCTGTTGCAGACCTCTGCTGATAAAATGAAATAAGATCCTAATATGTTGCCATAGAAACAAGTGGGTTTTCCAGGTTTTGCATTTAAACAGACTGTGGCTGCTGAATTTTCAAAGCTAATCTCTCTATTGCAAGTCTTTCTGTAACAGCCTGAAACACAGCTCTCATCTCTTAAATTTATAGATTCATGGATGACCGCTCTTCTCCCTTTCCTAGGATTAGCTGCAGCATTTCCTATCAACCACGGATTAAAACAGCGGTTCTCTTTGTTGCATATCATATGCCAATGATCTCCATTTATGGTCTGAAAAGACCTCATAATCCTATTTGCTGTTTGGCTGATATGACAGACCACTTTGTATTTGATTTCATTTCTTTGGAAAGTGCTAGATATTTCTTTTATTCTAAAATAGACAATCGCTACACCGAGAACAAAATTTTAAAAACCCAAATAAGAACAAAGCCAAACCAGAAGCCTCCTGCAATATTATCAGGGACAGATGACTGTACCCACCCAGTATCGTCACAGCACCAAGGGGCAGAGGTCACAGACACTTTTCCATTTCTAGGGGTTGTAGTGGTCTCCTGATCTGACTGGCAATCTGACAAGCAGTCAGTTGGTAATCAGGCAAGATCTCCCCTGGTGGAGATCTGGTGTGGAGACTTGACACCATGTATGTACAATTGACTCTTTTTTAGATCAGAGTATCAGGTAATTATGTATGTTCCGTACAAACACTGGGGCATGTTTCCGCTTCCCCTTCGGGGCGCTGGGCATGCTGCCCTGTCAGATGCTGCATTCCTCCTGCAGGCATTCCCACTTGCCCACCTGGAAAAGAAGGGTCTGCCACAGCTGTGACAGACTGTGAAGCCTGCCAAAGCGAGTGCCTCCCAGTGAGGAAGCTGCTCTCAGATTCCAACTAAAAATTAAAACGGCTGCAAGGAAGGAAAAGGGAAGACTGGTTTTCCTCACAAACCCTTCTCTCCTTGGATACTCCTAGTAGAAGCAAGGCAAACTAGATCAAATACTTTGATATCTAGGGACAGAAAAGATTGTAAGAATAATATTATTTGTGCTGGTTTTTTTCATATTAGAGACATTTATCTCCTGTAGCAATTTTTTTTAAAATCCTTTTAGTTTAGGAATTTAAAAGAACATTAATATTACTGTTTTAGAAATATCTGTCCTTTATAATAACTATCACACATACCTGAGGATTTTTTTTAACATATCTTTTTAAGACCTTACTATCATCTTCCCTGCATGTGCTTGGGGAAAACTGACATGGTTCTTGCAATACAGTGTCCAGTTCTGGAAAAGCTGCTTTTTAAAGCCGCTGTGAAGCGAGATCAGACACTGCCGACATGTAATGCTCCCCCCCATATAACCGTTAGTTCCAACCAGGTGAGGTCAGCGCTGGAGGGGGGCACTGGCCGCTCCCCAGCCCCGTGCAGCTCCACAGGTTCCTCTCACCCAGCCCCTCGGGAGGGAACTGGGGAGCCGAACCCTCAGGCACGCGCTCAGACACCGGCTCCGTCGCCCGGTACCACCTGAGAGTCCATAAGCTCCTGCATTTGTCAGCTTGGATGAGTCCTAAAACTGCGATTTTCTTCAGATTTCTTCTTATTTTCCGCATTCTATTTTGCAAGCTCTGCTCCTGCAGCTTTTAAACAAACCAATTTTTTAAATACTATTTGGCAATAACTATCAGTAGTGTGGGGTGACGATTACAATGCACCTGGAAGTGCTTGCCTATGCTAACCCCATACTGCGGGCAGCAGGTACATTCTTCTTTTTCAAGTAAGATACAAAATGTGGGTTTTCTCAAGTAGTCAAAATAACCTTGTGGTCTCATTTGAAATACTGGTAATATTGTTTCAAGTTTTGTCACAATTCCAGCCTATTCCATTTCAGAACAAGGTACATAATAAAAAGCACTGTTGCTACAATATGCTGTGCACTTCACAGCAAAGAAAACAAAGAGATAACGTTTTTGAACCACTTGCTGGGGGAAAGCCTGGTCTTTATACAGCACTACCACAAGGTATGAGTGCCTTGCTGGATCTCTCACTATTATCCAGGACAGAAGTTAAATATAAGTACTGGGTAATAACAGGGGTTGGAACATTAATTTTAAAAATTCAACTTTTAAGTAAACCCCCAACACTCTGTACTAATAAAATCATAAGCTAATAATTTTGAAATTTCCTGTGCTAAATAAAACCATAGTGAACAAATGATACTGACTTGACACTTTAATATTTTATGAGAGATCCAAGACAAGCATTAGAATAGGTAAATGTTCATTTTTTTGTCTTCTCAGACTTAGAACTGAATTTTCAATTCAACTTTTTATGTTTTCCCTCTTCTGCTTTTGTTTTAGGCTGTTGTAACTATCAGGTGCACTAAAAAGTTATTACTTATCATACAGAAAAAATAATTCTTAATTAAAAGCAAGTATCTGGACTAGAAGTTTGCGATCAGGCATTAAACATATAGCCAAGAGAAGTATTTAAACTGGATCAGCTCTCTTTTTTTAATACATATATTTTACAATCTATAGACTCAGGACTACTCAGTTATCCAATAAGTTAACTCAAGAAAAATTAATAAGTTCCCAAGGCAATTCAGAAAAAGAAGAAAGAGCAGATTAAACAAAGACAAGTAGATAAACCCACTGCTGAACAAGAAAAGTGAGACAATCCAATCAATGAAATTCAACCTATGCATTTTCCAGTCCTTTTGTTGTTGTTACCTTATGACAAAGTACTTTGTTCAGGCCAAAGATTATATATGTCTTATAAAAGAGACCATACAAACAAAGATCCAGAGAGGATCTGGGAAAACAACAAGCAACAGGTTTTACAGCATCAGTGTTTCAGCTGAAGTCAATCAAACCAAGGTGCAAAATGCAGCTATCATCTGGAATAGAAAAGGATGAGAATGGATAGCAGTTCCTCTGCTTATATCACCGCATCACATCTGGCACACAATGCATGTAACAGCATTCACCGCTCTGGGAAGCCTTCAGAAATCACAAGGCTCAAGCTGGTTGTCACTCTGCCACCTACATTTTTATAACCTGACAGAGTTGTAGCAATCAGCTCACAGCCGTGCGGGTGAGCTCCCTGGCAGCTCCGGCCCCGGCTGCAGGCAGGGGCTGCGCACGGCAGCGCCCTTTCCTCGACCGCCGGCGGCCAGACCTGCCCATCTTGACTGGAGCCGCGGGCAGGTGAAGAGCTCCACCAAGAGCCTGGTGACGGTAGAAAAGTCTGAAGGACTACGACATACCGTTCTGTGAAGGGGGGAGCAGGGAGGCGACAGCATCTCCCTCAGAAAAAAAAGAAATATTTTAAAGTGAAAAATAAAAGTGCAAGCACGGTCAATAAGGATGACAGGAAGAACACAGGCAGAGGCGGTAGGTCAGAATATTGCTCACCCTTCTTGAAGAAGTATTGGAGAGAAGATGACCTGGAGAACTGTGTTAGCAGTGCTGGGAAGGAGAGTAATAACCTATATGGGCATTTCCAGCGCTTGCTTTGAGTTAAGGGAACTGACAGTGACAAACTTCCTGCTGGAAGCTGCCGGTCCTCAGCTGCTCCCTTGAGAGAAGTAAAAAAATCGGTATGAGCAGTCGTTATCAATTATATTCTTGCTCAGAAGCAATATTATACCTCAGACGCTGAAGGCCACATCCCCCTTAAAACTGATTAGTAAAGACCCAGAGTACAAAGAAATGTGACAAATATATCGTTGTCTGTGTATTTCACTGGAAATAGCATTGAAAAAAAGTAAATCTGTTTAATTGATAACTTGTTAACTACATTTATTGGCACGTTAATATACATTTTAAAACCTTGCGAAAAAGGCATTTAGAAATAAGCTTATCTTGCTGATACTTTTAAATGAAGTGCATATATATATAAAAAATGTCTGTGTATTTATATATGTATATATGTGTGTGTATATATAACTACTTGTAGTAAATGGGACTAGTCAGTAACTAATATCATGGCTAATATAGCCTTTAAAACTTTAATAAAATTCCATGGGTAAAAGCATCAAGTCACTACTATGAGTAGCTACTAATGGGTAGCTTGCAATTTTTACTTTTTAACTGTGTGCTACCTGAAGGATTCACAGGCCAAAGCACGTGCATTTATTACTTTTCATTTGCTTTTCCTATGCAAACTGGATTCATGCCTAACAAAATTTATTTTCAGTTTTACGTACCATATATAGTTCATTCACAGAAACTGCCATAGTATGAGGCAAATAGGATTTTACATCCTTCCCACTTATTACCTGTTAGCTTTCTATAGTGGTGCAGATGATTTATACAACACGGGACACACTCCTCATGGTATCAGGAGGACTATGGGATGCACCATGGATTCACAACCCTGCCACGGAGTACTGGAAAATATCGAGGTCCCAGCTGATTACTGATCTTTTGAGTCTAGATGTGGACAGTACAGACTTTAATTTTTATCTGTTGAAGTGGAAAGACTTTTCTCCACCTTCATGACATTTTAGTCCCCACAAGACCCACTGTGACATGCAGAAACTCTTACAATAGTTAGCTAGCATTTCTAATTCTTACTGCTTGAGTTTCTTGTCATTCCTTCTACAATGCCAGATTCTGTACTTATACCACTACAATGGAAATTATGTTTGGTAGATACTAAGAAAAATATTTATTTTTCATATAAAGTCTCAATAAACAGTCATTTAAATCCTATTTTTTATAGTAATGCATTCAAATATCACATTCTGGAATGAGCAAAGCTGTGAATGTGGGTAGGCTAGGCTTGATGTGGATTTTGAATCTTAACTTCAAGATTGCAAAATTACAGTTCATGGATCTATATATGAGCTATAGCTGAGAAAACAGTAGAAGTGTCATTATACTCAGAAACAACTGGAATTTTTATTTTTGATTGCTCACTAGCTTAGGAGTTGATTCTGCCTATCTATCGAAGATGTCAACAACAGCAACAGTCAAAATTAGAAATATGCCATCTTGAAATGAAGTAACAAACGTTGGCAAGTATTTAGATCTTGTCTAAAACATCACCCCCTATTAAATTCAATTACAAACTGCACATACATATCGTGTTTCTGGTGACTGCATTTTCTTTCTCCCGCAAAGTAGCTGAAGATATTAGTAACATTGCAAACTAAAATGAAGACTAACTGACTTTGCATGGCATTCTCTATGTCCAGTCAAAAAATAAATAAATAATGTATCTGGGTGAGGTTTAAATGGACTATTTTACACTACTTATGGTAAAATAATCTTTCTTGGCAAGAACAGACATCTGGAGTTTGTGTGTTATAAGCAGCTATTCTGTTCTGCATTTAGTCTAATTTACATTATTTAAGCAGATAGATTATAAAAACTCAATATTCTGCAAGCACATGAAGTATCTTTCCAGCAAGAAAAGTCATTCTAATTTGTCAGAAAATTTGCTTACATAACAGACTCCATTTCCAAATACGGAGGAAAAACCAGTATATTCTTTCAGATCTTTGGAAAATATTTTGTCAGTTACATACAATAAAAAAAAAATATCACAGCTCAACAGATAAGGAAGGCATAAGGAACCCAAGTGACTAGCCTATACATAAAATTTCTGCACAAAAAGAATGAAATACATATGTTTTGCTGCCGTCTTCAAATGAATCCAGGATTTTGATTTTTCACAGTATTTTAGATGTACCTGTAGTTCTCATCTCTAGACTCTGAAGCAGGTTTTTGTTGTGAAACAAAGATTAATCAAGGATTAATGCAGAAACATTCGTTGTTCTTAACTATTCGTACGCTTACGTGGCTGAAGCTGTCAGTCCTTAGGAAGGCTGCCTGGTGGTTTATATCTGTGTTCTAACACATAAATCAACACTTGGTCCCACACTTTACGTTTCAGTTTAATAACATCTTAACATTGTTTTTACAACCTTAAAACATGTGCATATTTTATTCCTTATGAAGCTGAAATATTTTTAAACTGAAGTAATTCTATTGAAAATTCAATTCCAAAAGTTTCAAAACTGTTTTAACATACTGGAATAGTAGCTACTGAAAACAAAACAGTTTAGAAAGACAGTTCTAAGAACATTTTAAATGGATGAAAAAGGAAGATGACTTCAGGTAAAAAAAGTGCATGCATTCTAACAGCTTCAGTATTTCTTTCACTAAACAATATTCTTTTGTGAATTATCTATTAAGAAAAATAGACTAAATTTTAAAGAACAGAACTGAATTTCTCTAAAACCAGTATTTCCAATGGCAGACTTTTTTTTTTTTCTCCTGTTTGAAACAGCTTTCTACGTAGTTATACTTGTTTCAAAATTTAAAAATGGGCTAATTTGTCTCCTGACTTTTATAGCACAGGGAATGAAATGCAGATAATGCTCTGCAGGTGGTTACGTATCGATAAAGTTTATGTGTATAAAGGAAATTAATGTAGCATTGAACATAATGAGTATGAGAAAAAAATGCAACAATGTACTAACTGAAAGAATCATAATACTGTGGTTGTACTAATCAAAGAATACTAGGGCACTAGTCATTTTTTCATTTTAAGTGAAGAGCTTTTCAGCTTCTTTAATTTTTCTTTTCCTGTCCATTTTAGAAACTGCAGTCCACCCAGCCTCTCGCATTTTCCTCATGGTTGTAAGTTTCAGTACAGAGCCTGGAGTTCTCATGTTTGATGTAGTTGGTTTCTAAGAAGAATAATAAAGCCATCCATTAGTCTGTTTCTATAATCAGATTAACTGTTTGCTTTGATCTGAAGAAAAGCTAAGGTACCTTTTTTGGTGTCATGGCATATAATTGTGAAGCGTGAGGATAATCTTTGTACAATTTTTTAAACATTTCTTCCTCCGAGACTATACTCTTAAATTAAAAATAAAAAAAGTTACTTAATCACACTATATTAAAAAATGTATTTTCTTTCCCCCTAGGAATATTACAGTATGGGAAAAAAAGTTAAGTTGTTACCATGAAGCCTCAACAGTTCAATAAAAACAATGTAAAACAGTCATTATAGAAGTTAATATATATATTTTTGTATAGCGGTACTCTGTCATAGAGTTACTAATTATGTACATATAAATACAATTCCAGAAAGAACCAATGAAATAAAAATATATAACAAATATTGTCTTGGCTACAGAACCCCACATGCTTTCTACACATTCTGAGATAGAGCAGTGTGCAAAAAGCACCGCTGAGCTCACTGTGTTCTCTCTGATCCTTACCAGGAGGTCGCTGTGTTCCGAGCTGTCTGACTGGGCATCCAGCTGCAGAACCACTTTTTGCTTTTTCCTCATGCCCTGTTCTGAATGCAGACTTGTGCTTTCACTTTGCAATTTACATATTGGAGGAGTCTTTATAATATATGTCTGGGAAAAAGATGGCATTGAAAATTATATTTTCAGTGGTAATTGTAGAATCTAAAACTGAACTCGTAACCCAGTTTACAGACTGATTATTCAGGAAGACACTAGAAAGATGCTGTGGAACAATTATCTTTTCATCCAAAATAAGAAGCAAAGACCCAAAAATATTTGTTGCCAAATAAGGAGCATGAACAGGAAACTGTGGAAGAACTGAGTTTTATGGCACACTGTATCTAACTTCTTCATGCTTATCTGCAGAAATTCAGGGTATTCTGAACTGTAGCCACTACATACAGAATGTAAGTACCATTTGAGAAAACAAACAAAACTTCAGGAAAAAGCTTTCAGAAAGACAGGGATAGTGATATCAAGAACGAGATTGTTTTAACTTAAATAGTACTTCCACTACAAGTTAAACTCAAAAACTTTGCAATGGAACAATGTAATCCTTTTTTAGAAAGGATGACATAAAACCAGTAGCTGTTCCTATCGTTAAGAGCTTCTGACACAGTAGAAGCATGAGGTTTTACAGTTATGACGAAGCAGTCAGGAATATTTTGATCATTTTTAGAGCTACACAAGCTATATTCTGTTCCATAGAGAAGAATATGCCTTTACAAACAGACAACACTTATTTTTAAGACTAAGTAAAAGAATTCTAGAGACATTATAAATTAACAGTCCCTCTAGGACAGGAATTGTTACTGAACAACAATAACAGGCAAATTAAGTAACTGAGCAGTGGGAGCCCTTGTACAAACTGCTGTCTAATATCGCTGTGGAATACATTTTTTTGGTGGCCATCTACCTTTTAAATCCCTGCTTATCACAACAAAAAATAAATAAGCATCTACAGAGAAGCAAGAAATACAGTCAGAAAAATAAAACAAGATCAATTCACTATTATGAGTTACAAACCTCTAATGATGGACTACCCAAGGGACTCTTTGCAGATACTGAAGGAGGCATTTTTTTCTTTTCCATCACGTTGACTTTTGTAGGAATCTCATTTGGAGACTTTTTATTTTTTAAATTAATAGATTCACCATCCAGATCTAAATGAGGTTTAGGAGTCTCACAAAAATGAGTCTGCATTTTCTAAAATTAAAAAAGGTTTAAATTAAAAGCATGTCAATGTCTTCTGTTGAGCACATATAATTTATCATGGATCTTCAATTAGATTACATACATATAAATATTACCAAATTCTAAGATTAATTAATAAGGTTAAAGCTACCTCGTGCTCGGACAGTTCTTCAGTTTCTCCCTGCTTCCCTCATACTTACCAATTAAGGAGTAACAAAACATTCACTACTACCAGAAATGAGACCTAATGACTTCAGAGAGCATCAAGATTTTGAAATCAGACAGCAATGGACAGCAAGATCAAGAATCAAAAGTGCACTTCACAGCTGTCATTATTATAGTGCATAAGACCAGTCCAAGCACATCACCCATACCGCTACATTCATTCAGAAAAAATACCTTCTCTTCAATTTCTGCTTTGAGTTGTTCCTTAAGGGATGACAGTTCGTTTTTCAAACATGAGAGCTCATTTTCCTAAAAACAATTAGATAAAAACAATTATTAGCTATACTTCACCTGGAAAAAAGAAAACAGTCCAAAGTGAGACAATAATAAATCGAAATATTCATTATAAGCAAATAAAATTTCCATTTATTCAATAGAGCAAACTTATCCATCAATTCTGCATGCCAAGAGGTATTTACAACTCATTTTCAGAATTGTTTAGGGTGGACCTTTAAGATCAAGTCCAACCGTTAACCTCATGCTGCCAAGTCTGTTACTAAACCATGTCCCTAAGCAACACATCTCCATATGTAACACAGCTAGTACTTCCCCTGCAGCAAAACTGGGTCCTAAATGTCAAAATATCAGAAAAATCAAGCAACTCAATCACTTCAATAACAGATGATCAAAGAAGCAGTTACCAAATTAAAAAAACCCAACATGTAGACTTGAGTCACACCTCATTCTATTTAAAAAAAAAAAATCTAATTGAAAGAAAGCTCTGTGAAGAAATATTCTGTGAGGGGAAATGTCAGACAAATACTGCATTTTAAAGTAGATGCTGCAGAACTACACTTCTGTGAAAGTCTTGTGAGGATGTTGGCTCTCAGAATATTTCTCAAAGCTAATCTTTCCAGAAAGAAAAAAAAAAAAAAAAGAAAAAAAAAAAAAAGCAGCAATGCAACTCTAGACTAGAAGTTTTGTTTTATTTGATGTAAAAAGAGCTAAAGTACTATTAAGAAACAGGTACTGGACCAAAACTGTTCAAGGTAAAAACTTAAAATGCTTGTTAGAACAGTGGGGTGTGGAATCCAACTTTTGTATTAAAGTTTCTCATTCAGACAGTGAGGTTAGAACTGATTCACTATTGGTGAGAAATAGACAGAAAAGCACAGCTACTCCAATTTATTTTTAGAAACATCTGGGGTTTTGAATGCACATAGTAAAATCTGTAAGAAAATAACAGTAAACAGAGATTAGTGGGTTTACCTTTACTGTTCGGTCCCACTAAAGCAGACACAACCCCTCAAGTGTTAAAAGAAAGAGGAAGAAGTCTAATATGATATTTATAATTATATTACACTTTAAGGACAGCAGCCCTTCCATTTAATTATTTAGTGTTGAAGAGTATGTCTTACCAGTGATCTTTTTGATGATAAGTGCTCTTGCTCTTTTATTTTATAAAGTTTTAACTCTGCATCTTTTTCTTCAACCATTTTATCATATTCATGCTGTATTTAAAAAAAAACAAACAAACAAACAACAAACTTGAAACGTTTGACTAAATGTTACAATTATAGATCTACCTAGTCCTCAGACATTACTCATTTTTTCAAATAAGACTCTTCTGAAGACTCAGAAAGCACTATAAACAAACATGGATGCTTCAGCAGAAGCTGTAAAGCAGAAAATCTACAAGCACTATTATTTTGTGGACTGACAGAATGCTTTATCTCTAGGCAGCAGTACATGTTGCAGCACAAAAAATCTAGCCATGTTATTTTTATTAGTGGTATCTGCTAAATAGACCACAAAACAGAACAATAAGGAATCTAAATTAAAATATGCTGAGGGTAGCTAAGTAATCTCCTCATAAAGAGGCCCAAACTGATACTGAAGAATACTGCTTTAGGATGGTATCAAAGCCTGAATATTAAAAAAAATCCTACAAATTTAGATACATGGAATTTATCTTCCAGTAGGCATGTTTTCAAAATCTTTAGATGTATTTGGTTTTAGATGATGAAAAATCAAGCATGTATTCAACTTCATTTTCTGAGATTCTGGTCTTTATTTTGTAATTTCACTTTCTAATTCATAATATTCTGGGTTTGAAAAGCTTTCACTTAACAGTATCACACATTACAAATCACAGAAATGAGTAAAACCTCTTACCTTGTGTTTTTCCATAAGTGCCACCATTTCAGTTATTTTGTGTTGACATCGGATATCAGTTTCTCTCTGTGTTATTGTTGCTTCATCAGCAAGCAACCTCATCTTTTCTACCTGTTAGCAACAAGTTTCATTTAATTCATGAAAAATTAATAATATATTTTAAAAAAATCTCTGTTTCATTTCTTCTTACCTCTGTGGGTGCAATGTATATATAGTCTCATTTAATGTAGTCTTCATTTGCTTTTAAGACCTTTTTTCAAATCCTACATCTTCTATAGATATTGTTAAAATGGGCAAATAAACCTAGATTAAAAGTACATCCATTCTTCTATGGCAGTGTCATTTTAAACCACAAGGCCCTTTCAAGCACTCTGCCCTAACTTTTTTTGATATTACCATCAAAAAACTGTGGGCAGGAAAGTACTAATATGGGAACGGTTGTAATCTAATTTGCTTATGTCATATTTATTCCAAGAATAGGATTTCTGTGAACAATATCTTGACAAAAATTTTTAACTGCGTTCTTGTTTTTAAAGACACATACAAATGCTTCAACTTAAAGATTTAATGCACTAAAGCTTTGCTCAAATGCATACACAGGAAGTTCCATTTATGTCGATAAGACTGCTACATAAGAGCAAGGGCTATGGCCAATATAGCTTCATAAAACCATCTTACATCAAAAAAATAATTAAAAGTTACACTAAAAATTAACAACTCTCACCTCTTCAAGAAGTTTATTTTCGTTTACTTTTTTTGTTTCAATGTCTTTTTGATAGATGTCAACTGTTTCCTTATGTTGCTTGTTCATATTTTCCATCTCTAACTGTAATTTATTCACCTTTTGAGAACACAGAATCATTGCTGTTACTTGTTCAGGAATAAATATGCCAATGATTTTTTTACCTCTCATTTTCGAGCGGAACCCATCTGCTGCTTTTCAGGTATATGACTGAACTGTCCTATTTAATGTTCAGCTTTTTTTAATAAAGAGTTGAACTTTTTCCTGAAGTGAGTTAGAAAATACTCATAAAAACAATGGCAACACCACAATGGGAAAGACAGCCTGTACCAGTTTCATGCACCCCAGTCAATAAAACAGTCCTAAAGCTAGAGGCCAGTCAATCACAAAAAATCATTCCAATACCCATCAGCAATCTGACACTATTCTGCCTTTTGTACAAAAGGCTCTCTAGTATTGCTGGCATTGAATGCAAGGTGCCAAAATAAAGCATAACTGAGAGTCTCCTAAAATAGTCTCCTAAGACTCAGCAGTATGACTGTATTATGTTAACAGCTAAATTTTTTTGACTAATTAAGAAGTGAAAAAACAGTTTATCTAGAAATAGTTTATTTTCAGAATTTTATTTCATTCTAAAGATTAATTCCTTTGAGTTACTAATATTAATGAGAATTTGGTATGAAACAAATAGGAATAGTGTATTCCTAAGTGGTGACTCTAAATGCTGTGAATTCTTTGAGAAAAAGATACAGATGGAGACTTTATTCCCTCCCTTGTAAATCTATTTGAGATTTTATCTGTTTTATAATATTTTTCTCTCAAGTGTGCATTTTGATTACAATTTTTAAGTTTCTCATAATTATGCCCAAAACAGTCTATATCTTCCCTGAAGTGTGGTACCCAAAAATGGACACAGTATTCTGATCAGAGACTTATCACTGCAGAACAGAGTAAAAGAACTGCCTACAGTGAATGAGACATGCATTTCTTTTAATTGCTTTTCTGTTTCAATGGGGTGGCATTACTGAATTATGTTCAGCACACTTTCAAACAAAAAAGAACAGGATTTATTAGAAATGTAATTCCTTGAGATGTGATGTCCATCTCTTACAAATATCTGGTAGGCCAGCCAGTGCCCACTGATTAAAAATGGAAGCATCTTCCAAAAATTATGGACTCATTCCTGTAAAATCCATATCCAAGATCCATAAACCAGTTACGAATGTGCTTAACATAACTATTATCATTAGTTACTCTGGTACTTAAAACATTCAGTGTTTGTGCTTTACCCTCACCTTGTACGTGAAGTTATTTAAACCTACCTTCACTTCATAACTACTCGTTTTCTTGCTTTCTGCAGTAATTTTCTTTTTTAGCACCTTATTCTGTTAAAATAAAATAAACCAAACACTATAATTTAATAAGTTAATGGAATTATGTAATGATTTAACTGCATCAGGTAGGTTGGAATCTTCAAAATTCCATCTTTCAGCAAGCAAATAACTCCGTTGTGCAGTTCAAGTTCCAGATCAATTCTCCAGACAAAAGATGGCTTTAATAATACCGTTACTTCATGACCTTACAAAAGACTGCTCATGGGCAACAATGAAGAATAACGGAAGAGAGTGCAGTATGGGAAGACAAACCAAGATGCTGCTGACAGAAAATGTGTAGGTGTCATGACAAAAAATACTATTTATATATTTTTTACACTACAGTTATTAACTATTTGTCTTAATATACAACTCTTCTCTATTGTTGGTAACTGAGATTGATATACTTGAAATAATAACCTATGATACCATGTACTACATGAAAATAGTAAAATTTTATTAAATTGTATTTTTCAAAAGTAAGGATAATTTTACAAATCAAGTAATTCCAAAGGTGACTCCTTAAATTTGCTCAAAGTTAGGATAAGAAAGAAAATGTTATAAATTACATAGGTATATCTAAAGGTACCACACCAGACAAAAACTGTTGAAAAGTAACAGCTACTACAAAATACCATGTTTCATTTATTTGTGACTTTTAGAAACCGTACATACCTCCTGTTGCAACTCTTCAATACATTTGGTTTTATTTTCCACCTGTTTCTTTACATTGTTGAACTAAAAGAGACATTGCAAACATTAATTAGTGAACTCCTAAAAAATTACTCACTGTTAGGGATTACTGCCAATGTTCACACATTTGCACAAGTCTGATTAATTCCAGTGGGACTGAAACACATGCTAACATGACCCAGTGATTAAAGTTTTAACCATAAAGTACTACAAGAATTTTGCTAGCCCAGTATCACCAACACTAATAGCAGAGAACCAGTTCCACAGTGGTTGTAGAGCTTAGAAATAAAAAAAAATAGTAACTCTGCAATTTAAAAAATAATCTTGCACGAAGTTCTCTACAGTCCATGAAAAAAATTAATATTCATACCTTATTTTCTAGAATCTTCAACTGCTTCTCCTTTCTTGACATCTGATTTTCAATACTCTTAGCCTGGAATTATAATTGTAAATCTTTTACTTTTACAATAAATTTTGAAATCCATTATGTTGTAAAAAAACCTGGTGTACTTTGAAATTACAATAAGAAAGTAAAAATATTTGAACATATTTAAACTAAGAGTCGTATTACAAATTGAAAGCCAATCCATACCCCATTCATCACTAAGTGGGTATACAGAAATTTAAAAAAAAAAGGGTTCTCGGCCTGAAATCTAACAGATCTGGACTTTTAAGCCTCCATGTAAAGAAAGATAAACATCCCAGTGAAAGCCCTTGTCTTTTAAAAGAAAAGGGCTCAGCATGTTGACTCAGTTGGTAGCAGCACCGAGAGAAGATGCCTCTGTAAGAGATTACATCCCAAGGTAGAGATTTTCAGAGAAAAAAAAAAAAAAAAAAAAAAAAAAAAAAAAAGAGTTTTACATTTAGATTTTGTCCTACAGGTTATGTTAAACATTTTCATGATAAACCATCTATGGCATACATTTTCTTCTCTTTCATCCAGTTTACTTTTAATCTCTTCACCTTTCTTTGCCATCTTCTTCAAAGACTCCAGTTCATTTCTAAATGCCAAATTAACAAGCATTAGCAAATATTCATTTAATAACTTTAACTTCTTTTCACTACTGCTAAGTAAACCCATAGTTTATTTTATTTTCTAAAAAGAACTACTAACATTGGTGAGAAATTCATAAGCTGTTCAGTGAAAATGTTCTTAAAAGATGTAAAGTGACTGGTAAGTTAATGTCTGACCTGTACATACTTTTTATAAATATGGAAAGATGTCCCCCTTATGTGAGTGAAATATATTCTAATCTGTAATACCGTAATCCATCTATCAAACTTGGAAGGCTGCCTATCTACTGAGTTGGTAGTACACAGACTAGTTCAGAGAATAATATTTAATCAGTTTCACCTTTTCACATTTAAACCATAACCTTTAACTTCTGCTTTTCATTTCCTTCACACCTAAGATGTAAATGCAGAACAGGATAGCTCTCCATATGTAACAGGAAGCTATGGCAAGAATTATTCCTTCAGCAATAGGTATCATCAATTTGTAGAAGCTTCTACATGGCCAACATCAATACTAAATAGTTTCTGTTTAGCTATGTAGCCTAAAAAAAAGCATTAAGCTAAAAATCAGAGAAAGCAGCATATGAGCACAACATTTAGACTGTGAAGGAATTGAGTCTACTTCCTTTAATAATATTGTACATTAATATTTGTTTCTACTTGCCTTAGCTGGCCATTTGCTTCTTCCAGGTTTTCAACTAACTGCTTTGTATTTTCTTCTCTTTTTCTACTATCCTAAATAAAGACCCATGTAAGTAAAATGAATAAAATTCTAAGTGACATCCTAAAAAAACTAAAAGACATCTTAAGCAGTATTTGACCTGCCTGATTCACAAGGTTAACTGCACTCCCTTTGTATTTTAAACACAAAAAAATAGTTCCACAGAACCATGTCATGTTGCAGTTTACCATATGATTTGTATTTTAAATTGACTGTTCTTTTAAAACAGCTGGATGTTTACAACTTGCCTTGTGATTTTCTTGCAGTTTCTTGATTTCTGTAGCCATACCACTTTTCTCTTGTGCTATTTGGTCCTTTTCTAATAAAAGCTTATTGATATACACTGTTAATTGTTCGTTCTTTAGCCTAATTTAAAACAAATGGTCAAGAGAGATAAGAACATGTATTTTGAAATTTCCTTTTAAGTTAAATTTATCTGTTATAAAATGTTACTTCATGCTGAAAAAAGTTCAGGTCTGTATCTACAATTTAAGCTTTGCAGCAAAGTTACAGTGATGAAAAAAGGTGACAGAAGAAGAAAAGAAAATGAGAGTCAACATTTACATAAATACAAAGGTTGTTGAAGATGAGGTAGTTCAATATCCAGCTCAAAACAGGGCTAATAAATTCAGAATCTTTCTCTTCATATGGAACAAATACATACATACAAATACAGAAAATGTACTTTATAAATATAAGTATGTAACAGATCTTATAATGTGTGCATAGGTTCAAAGTTTTCATTAGAAAACAATCACAGATCACTTCATTGTATATTAAAGTAACTTCTAAGTAACACCAAAAAAATTAAATACTGTATTTTCAAAAATCATCATACGCCTCTTGTTCAAGATCTGTATTCAGTGTCGTAAGCTGTTTTAAATAATTTTGTTCCTTTTCAGCTGTACTAGTCAGTTGTAATTTCAAATCACGGATTTCTTCCTGTAGAAGAAAAAGTGTTTTGGGTATTCCTATGTAAACTACAAGTCATGAAAGCTATCAGAAATGAACTGACAACACAAAGCTTTAAGATGAAACAAAATGACACATATGCCATAAATTAGCCAGACTGTATCTTTACATCTCTCTGGTGTGATGTGGAAGTAGTGGGAGATACTGAACTCTGATACAAGTGCTAAATGTGTCCCCTATTGTAAGTCTAACTAACTAGTCTGTAAAATCGCTGACAAAATTAGCTCTCCTTGGACATTATTTTAAAGAAAGACATTTGCTTCAGACATCATAAGCTTTTGCATTCACCTAAATAATAAAAAATTTAAAAACAAAACAAAAACAAAATCACAGAATGCCAGTACTATGTGATAGAATAAGCACGTATTTTGGATACAACCCAAGCCACAAAGCAGAAGTCTTCCCTCAGAAATTTGTTGCCATTACAAGATAAGGCAAGTCTTGCAATGCAATGTAGTTTATAATATATAAATGCTTTGAATACTTTTTCCTCCAAACAGCTGGTGACGCACCAATACCACAGGCACTGGCAGGCAGTTCATGGGAGCAGGGGCGGGAGGGAGGGAGAGAGGCATCAGGTTTTAAGCACAGCACATAATGAACTTCTGGAATTTCTTATCACAGGAGGTGGCAAATGGTATGAGGAGGTTCAAAACCTGAAGAGACAAGTGCACACCTACAAGTCCATAAACTGACAGCAAAGGCAACCGACAGGGATGTGTCCTCAAACATCCTTAATGCGGCCACTGCAGGAACGTAAGAGGAAGGCACGCAGGGAACAGGCAGGCGCCTTGCACCTCCTGCCGCCACTGTCACAGGAGAGCGCTGCTCTGACTAGGTGATATTTCTTAGGTTCTTATATAGGAGTGATAACGTGTAACAACTATTTATAAAAACATGTTACTATCACTCTTTATTCAGACCTCTCTGATTTGGAGAGCATTTTTCATTTCTTTTTCTCTCTCCTGCAGATTTTCTACAGTAGCCTCAAGATCTTTCTTCTTCACTAGAAGTCCTTCCACTTTTCCCTGTTTAAGAACATCAGTGAAACTCAATCCAGGAAATTCAATGCACAGTATATAAGGAATAAACATACATGGTAAAATGCAAACCTCGTTTCACACTATCTTACTTTAGCTGATGCAGTTTCTTGTTAAACTTGTAAATACAAGATCATAACTAAAATAATCCTGTATTAAAAGTGTACTTCATATAGCTTAGACTTCTGTAACAGATAATGGGCCTGTGTCACAGATCTGTAGGGTTTACAGACACCTGAGCAAATTAACTCAGGAAACTTCCCTCTGAGTAAGAAAGAGCAACCAGTATAATGGGAATACATGGAACAGGGTGTTATAACCCAAAAGACCTTTCTACACACTCTGAAAAGGGACATTCAGCCCATTACGTAACACCTTCTAGATACTAAACACTGCTGTATGGAGGACACCTCACCATAGCTAACACCCCACAAACAGCATAATAGTCACAACAGATTTTTGAAGTAATAAACCTATGGAACCTATGAAATTACTTATTAGTTTCTTCATTTTGTCACATATAACCTTTCCCCAAATTCCACTGCCCTTTCTCAGGTGGTGTCAGAAGTTTGGTTATCCTTTAAACACCAAAATGAGGTCAGCCTTTACAAGACTTAATTTTTGAATGAAGCACCCCTTATGAAGCACCCTAGCCACTCAAGGAATTATCTTTACTGTCAAAAAGTACTTGATCTCTTAGTCTGAAATGTCACATGCTGGTGCTCACGAGGTTTGAGCTAAGGTTCATCACCAAAAAAAAAAGGAGAGTATTTCTCAGAAAGGTCCAGAATGAGGAAAGAATGGGTACTAGGCATAACTAAAAAAGGGGAGTCTTTATGTCTAGAGGGAGTGGTACTTGAATAGGTGTGAATGAAGAAGAAAATGACCAGAAATCTTGACAAGAAAACCAAAACAAAGCAGAACAGAAGAAAAACAGTGGAAAGAATCAACTCCTTCAATGAAAACACTGAAATAGTCTAAAAGACAGGTAAGGAAGTTTAGTAGCAACATTAAAGCAGCTTAGACAGTGTTTATATATGGCATTTAAGATATGTAGAAAGCAAGAGAGACTTCATATGAAAGTAAGTGTCATGAGACTAATAAAATGAACATTTACCAGTGTTTCTGACAGCTCTTCAAGTTGCACTTCTTTGTCGCATTTCAGTTTAGTCATGTCTTCTACAGCACATGTAAAGTTAATTGAACAGGAATAATTTGACATATTTAGCAGGCAGTATAAAGCATTTATCCCTTTGCAGTACCCAGTTTTCAAAACTTGTTGGATTAAGTTCAGAAATCGTAAAGATGAATTATGATTTAATCTAAATGTAGAGTTGAAATTATTCAAAAAGACATTAGCAAATACATATCTGAATGGAAACTAAGCATTCGTCCTAAATAAATTTCAGAGCCTATTATATTTTCCACAATTATGGCTTCAAATAAACTGTGGACTGTAAGAATGGAGTAATCTCCAAGTACCGATGCATCTGCATTTTTCCAATATCTGGAAAATATTCACATGGATATGCTGAAAAAGGAAACCACTTATTAGTAACTTCAAAATGTTTTCTGTGTTCACATCCACATTACTGGTATTTTTTGCAAGTACTGTAGCTGCAATGACTACCAAAGAAAAGGGAGTCAGATGAGTAAAAATACATGTAAGCATTCCTGACAGGTACAGAGTTCTGTAAAACCATTTTTCCAAGCACTAAGGACAGTCCATTTTCAGAAAACATCAGAAAACATTTTTATTACTACCTAGCTCATTTTCTTTCTTTCTATAAATCTTACCCAGTTCAGCAGACTTATTTTTGAGCTCCAAGGTAAGTTGCTTTGACTCTTCTTCATATTTCTCCAATCTAAAAAAATGGCAATTTAAAAAAAAGCCAACAAAAACTGTGTAGTACAAAGCAGTGCATTTGAAACTTAAAGGACAATAAGACAAAGTGTTATCACAAGGATTTTAAGAATATTTGCCTTTGAACAGGCAGATGATATATCTACCTGCAACACATATCAGATTTCACTTCTACAACTTTAGAATAGCAGACATAAAAGTAAACAAATATATACATATATGTCCATATTTCTTAAAAATAGAATTATGAAAGTTGGGGGGGGAATCTTTAAATTCACTGTATTTAGACCACTGTGTCAAAGAAACAAATTTCAGCTTCATAGCCCTTTGTTCTTGGATTTGTCATAAACTGCAACTACTTCAAAAACGTCTTAATGCCACATACCCAAAAATCACTGTTTCTTGAAAAACTCAGTCGTGGTAATGTATTAAAATACATATTTACTCATCTGTTCTCATTTTCAGAAAGGTTGATTTTAATTGCTATTAGGTTCTTTGACAAATACATAAACTACAGAAAACCTGAAATACATTAACAATAGGCATTGGCATTAAACAGTACTATTATCACATACAGAAGAATATTTTCCTCACTAAATTTTCCATTAATAAAGAATAGTCAAGTACTAAATGAGATTACTGCTCTGTCGTCCACACAAAACCAAAGAGCATAACTGTCTTCAGGTGCTAGTAATTCAAATAACAAGACAGGTGAAGGACTTTAGGAAAAAAAGTTATTAGTGATTCCAAAAAAAAAAAAATGCAATTACACTAGATCACATAGAAGTTTAGGTTTTATTCCCAGCAGCTCGGTAATCTAGTATACTATCTAGAAGATCATTCTTTGAATTCAAACTGTTTAATTTACCTATTTTGCTCTTTTTGCAGCATGCTTTTCAAATTGGAAATAGAAGTCTCAAACTCCTCTATCAGGGATGCATGCAAAGCTTTAATTTTTTTACATTCTTCCACCTGTGCTTCTTTTTCTCCAGTGACCTGAATTAATGCTTTCACTGCAGTCTGCAATTCGTTTTCTAAGCTCTTTTGAGTAACCTTCAAAAAAATTATATATTTCTAAACATGTTTTGCAATAAACAACCACAATTGTTTCATATCTAAAGTATCGGTAATTATTTATGCAATTACTTAACATATTCATACCGGAAAATTACAAGCAAGCTGTACCTCTGTTTTTTGCAGTGAAGCTTTGGCCTCTTCCAGTTCTACCCTCAAATGTTCTTGATTGATCTGGGATTCCTTTAACATTTCTCCTTCATGTCCTAAGCAAAAAGATATATGCTTATATTTAAGAAAAGTAGGATATTTACTAAAAAATGTTTGTATTTCTATTTAACAAATAAATACATTCCTACAATTTAATCAAGTTACATAGTGTATTTGTGTCATTGTTGAGGAAAAAGCCTCCAAGATATTTATTCAACTTATTAAGTAACAGTAACCGAAATGTAAAACTGCATATATTTATGGAATTTAACAAAATGCTTACATGTATCTGGCATAAAAACAATACTAAAACCTGCCTCCCCAGGGAAGAGAAGGCTAAAAATTGCCTCAGTTCTAAACGTACTTGCATCACACACTATAAATATTTAGTAATATAAATGGATTAAAAATGCTGAAAATCAATTTCTGAAAAGTAAGTTTCCTCAGTGGCACCTGACTAAGTCTGCAAAACTCAAGCGATGTATTTTTTCCCTTGTGATTTTCAAAAGCCCTCGTGGCCTGACTCACCTTTTAAAAAGAACCCTTCAGAAATAGTTATACTTCCAATCCCAGTCAATCATTTGCCTATTTGCAAATCAGATTCCATTTAAAAGCTGTAACATTTTGGGGGGTTATTTGGCAAAGGTATGAAAATATGTCTTGTTGAACACAGAACAAGGGCTACTATTTATGGGCTACTATGAACAAATATACTTTAAAGACCCTTCACTAACTTGATTTGAAACAGATCAATCCAGTAACCAGGAAAAATACTTTTACCTATTACCATGCCATGTTTACTGTACAAGTCCAACTAAAAAGGAGAAATCTCCAGAATAGGTGCAGGGTTATACAGTGTCTTGGTAAAACTTACTTCTATTACAGAGAAGGAATGACAGGGTATATGGCACCTTTACAGTAGTAGAGCATGCTCACGCTAGTTTGTTGAAGAGTACATTAAAATCCCTCACAACAAAGCTGTTATGTCAGTACAAAAACAGGGTGTAGCCTAAACCTAAAAAGAAAACCCTTTTTATGAAATAAGACTACCAGTCCTGGTCCCCCATCAGCAGTTGCTGTTCCAAACGTAAATAGGGCCTGCAAGCCCCAAAACTCTGCTGCTGACAAGTAACTGGGTAAAATTATCATGATCCTGTTTTCTATATTTCTATAACCAATTACATTTTAACATAGCAGAGAGAACTCTTACTTTTTGCTTCTACTAAATTGGCAATTTTATTTTTGGATTCCTGCAGCTGAGTCTTGATGTCTCTTATTATATCATCTTTTTCATCACTCTGTATGGTAAGAGCTGAAATCTAACAAAATTAAAATAATATCATAATGAAGTCTAGAAAAAAGGACAGATTCTCATTTTCATTTGTGCACCATGTACTATTAGCATACATCCTGCTGTCATTCGAGATAAATGAAGTGGTTGGTCTCAGCCAAATATTGATCAAGTCATATTACTCTGGATGAAAAAATCTCTTCAGTTCAAAATCAAAACACAAATTCCAACAGACTAAAAGTACTGGTACATCACTAAAGTTAGCAGAATCTGATTTAAATGCAGCTCCACCTGTTATTTTTGTCCTTTTTACTGATACCCAGCAACACTGCTTGCCCCTTTGCAATGTTACATCCATCCTCAGAGAAAACAACTGTTGACCTACCCAGATACAGATGGATGCTCAGCTTCTCGTAGTCCTGCTTACAAACTAAAAATTCTCATAATAATTAATTTCTTCAACTTAATCAGTCTTCCATCATGGTTACCTCATCAGCACTACAAAAAAGCTACTCTAATCTTAAGATTTCTAAACTCCTAAACAGCCTGTGGTTTGTTATGCATTCTAATCCTTCTTCCCACCTTCTCTCTCCCCAGATATGAACTATACCTTTCCTAACTTCGAGATGACTGCTTTGCTAATTTTATGCTTCTGCACAAGCCACTTTATAAAGGCAAGCGTACGTATAGAGCACAGAAAGAGTATTCAACGTTTACATGGTGCTTTTGAATCCTGTCACTAAGATGTCCCGTTACGATACAGCAACCTAGTTCATGTTTTATTCCAAATAAGTAACAGAAGGAACACACCACTGAAAGGTCATTTGCAATATTAACTTCCATCCTTCCAAAATACAAATATTTTACAAACTCAGCACTTTTAAAAATAATTGTTTTCATTTTATGTATAAGTCACAAAAGCAAATTAGAGTTCAAATATTAAAGAAACTGCAAGATTTCTTTCAAAAATAAAGCTGTACATATTAGATTGTAAAACTGAGCAAACCTGCTTTTCCATCATACTGACTTCCAGTTTGCATTCTTTTTCAAACTTGTCCACTTTTTCTGCTTCTTCTTTTACTTTTAAGATACAGTAATATCCATAGTTAATATACTAGCTAAAATATACACCAAGTTAAATACAATTTCCAGTTTAAGATTGCTTATAATTGTACAGTTGTACAATTTGTTCCATAAAGAGCAATTGTTGAGGTCATGTTTGAAATTATTTTCTAATGAGACAAGATAACAGTTGCGCCATTTTTCAACATAATTAGTCCATTATTCCATGTACTACTTAATAGTTTTATAAGAAACTAACAGAAATGCAAGTGTAAAAATGAAACAGTCACACTGTAAATAAAGCAAGTATTTAAATAAAATTTCTGTAATTACACACTAGTGCATTATCAGTTAAATAAACCAACTATATAAAATAAGTAGTGATCCCTAGACTGTACTTCATAGACAAAACTTAGACTTTGAGTGACTATATGAAAAATAAGGTTCCATAACCAACCCAGTGGAAAACCAATAAGAGGACTCAGGCATTTAAAAGCAGGCAGCATGAATAAAAGAGGGTCCAGACTGTCACAGTGTTAACTGTTCACCATTCTAGCACTTCAGATCTTTCTGGCCTGAAACTGTATGCAATAAAACCTATCAAGTACAAAAATGTTAAGCCTAAAGCACAAACACAATAAACAGTATTCTCACATTTGAAACACATTTCCAATCTGGTGTTCTCTGCTTGCACACGAAGCTCTTCAAATGACATTATCATTCTCTAAAAATAAAATTCAATATATACAGATACTTTCAGTAATGAAGAATTGTTTATGTTTGTAAAAAGTGTTACAAGCTTGTTCATATTTGTAGGAGAAATTTTGTTAAAAAGAAAATTCAGAGCACAAACATATTTTGAGTTAACAGAACTTTATAATCACTCAAAGTTGGAAGTTTAAAAATTTCTGTACTAAAGACCTAAACAATTTCAAGGATGAAATATTTTTACGGGTCCATGTTGGTAGATCCCTAACACAATGGAGGAGCTGTTGTGCTTTCTTAGTTGCTACAACCACCTGTAATTAATATTCAACCATGTACTCTCTGACTCTGCTTAATATCAAGTTCATCACTGCCAAACAATGATGTCTCATCTTTCTCTATTATAAATATACCAGGGTCTTACATTCCACACTGGAATAATTAACAAAAATATGATGAATTAATTTATTTGGCAAGACTGCACAATTTCATCAAATTAAAAAGGCAAAACCCCTCTTTAAGTCAAGAAATATTCACACCTTATACTTCCTATTTCATATAACTCCCCTGCAGGGCTGGGTCCAGCTCTGGGGCACCAACAGCAGAAGGACACGGACCTGCTGGAGCAGGGCCAGAGGAGGCCACGGAGATGCTTGGGGGGGCTGAAGCACCCCCTGTGAGGACAGGCTGAGAGAGTTGGGGGGTTCAGCTGGAGAAGAGAAGGCTCCAGGGAGACCTTAGAGCGGCCTCCCAGGGCTGAACGGGGCTGCAGGAAAGCGGGGAAGGACTCATCGGGAGGGGTAGGGGTAATGGTTTATCAGGACAAGAAGTAACAGGTTTAAACCAACAGAGGGGAGATTTAGATCAGATATAAGAAATTGTTCCCTGTGAGGGGGGTGAGGCCCTGGCACAGGCTGCCCAGAGAAGCTGTGGCTGCCCCCTCCCTGGAAGGGTTCAAGGCCAGGTTGGACGGGACTTTGGGCAACCTGGGCTGGTGGAAGGTGGCCCTGCCCAGGGCAGGGGGTGGGGCTGCATGATCTTTAAGGTCCCTTCCCATCCAAACTGTTCTAGAACATATGCATGTAACTCAGCTCAACACAGCCATGTAACTCGGATCACATTTGAGCGTTTTAACAAGCTATGTCACTTACTTCAACGTTGTTATTAAGTTCTATGTATAGTTGTCTTGTTTCTTCTTTTTCTTGTTCATCTATCAAAGTAAGAACATATCATAAAGTTTTCCTTCTGAAAAAGAATGCAAGCTGTCCAAGTCATTATGTTTAAACAGCATAATGAATTAAAAAAGGAATTATAGTCTCTTATTTAAAAAAAAAATTGTTACAAAACAGAGTGCAAAAAGTTATATAATCTGAAGAAAATATATATTCCATTGAAAAATTAAGCAAGCAAATTTCCTTCCCAATGTCCCTTTTTCTGTGAATAGTGTAATTCTGGATCAGTTTATATAACTATACTAATTTCGACAGTATTAATGTTGTTGAATATTAATGTATCAAAAATATGTTTGAAAAACTGTAATATAAGGTTTAGCACTGAATTTCTTCCCATCAGCAGATACCCATGATCACAGAAATATCATGACAAATTGTAATAATACTCCATCTCCACCTTAAAACGAAAGAGACACTTCTTAAGTATCCAGGATCAAGCTAGTAAAATTTAAAAGATTATAATAACAATTCTGAATTTCATGCAGAATAAAATCCCAAGTCAAGAACATACTTTCAAACCTCAAGAATTTAAACTTTGTTATCTAGCTGTCTTGGCTTGGTCACTTTAGTGAGAACGTTAGCTACTCATAGTGTCTTGGGGTTTGGACCCTTTTTCCCCCCACGAACCTGTAACCGCTCCAACCACGCTAACATCAACTCTGGAAATTTGTTAGAGAGCTGGGAAAGGTAACTAGAGTAGGTATACTGCCTAAACACAGGCATGAAGTATCATCTCACATGTCTCAATATACTCATGGTATCAAAATTTAAATAGCACTTACATTTGGTGGACTTCTCTGTGAAGTGAGTACAAGTTTCCTTGAGCAGATTACACAGATGCCTTGAAGCGCCATTTCTAAAAGAGGGGAAAAATACCAGAAGATGTTGTCACAGGAATGCATAGTACTTTGCATACCTAAGTGGTAACAATATGAATACCCCGATGACCTTTACAATTTAACAGCTATGTGTAACCTCCCATACCAACACAGCTCTCAGCATAAAAACTATTTTCACAAAAATATATTTGTCTGTATTACTCACTCTTTTAAAAGATCTTTATTTTCACATATCTCATCTTCCAGTTTTAAACTTAGTTTTTCATTTTCAAACTAATTTCATAGGGAAGAAATACACAAACACGTTGTTATTAAAAATATACTAGAAATACACTTTTACTTCTTAAATCTCACATGAAATAATTTTCTGCATCAGAAGACAGAAATCCATTTTCTCTGATATTACATGCTGAGCCACCTGTTGTTGTAGTTTGCATGAAAGACATAATAATGAACAATAATTTACCAAACTGAAACACTTACAGGTATGTTATTCATACATACACTCACATGCTTCAGGTGCACACCCCTTCTCAGAATAACCATTTTCTCAAGGCAAAAGTCAAACAATCAAAGATGACTCAGGTCACCAAAGCCAACACAAACAAACAACAAAAAAAGGACCAATAAATTGTTTAAAATATGTATTTCAGTCACTAGCAGCAAGGTAAGACACTGGGATACAGCAAAGTGAACTACTGCCTGTATGTGTTGAACACAGAAATACGCATGAGAATGCTTCACACATACTGGGAGGATGAAAACTTACTCAGTTGAACAGGTTTCTGCACACCCACAGTATGACGTACATGTAAATAATACAAAGGTAGGATGTGCATTGTTAAAAAGAACAAGACCATTTTTAAACCTCAAAATGTTACTTTTGCCTTTAACTACAATGGAGCCATAGATCACTGGTATCTAGGCAAATGGCTTCTTTGAAGTCATCACATTAACAGTTCAAAATTTCTTTAGTCTCTGCAACATTTTTTAATATTTAATTGTATGAATAATATTTTCATACTAAATCAGGAAAAAACTGCTCTTTACTTCACATGTTCAATATACACTGTACAATACTGGCCTGCAATTCTTGAATGGCTTTACGCTGTGCTTCAATAATCTTCCTATTTTCTTGCAGTTTTCTTTCTTTCTGCTTTAGTTCTGACTCTACAGTTAGTTTCCACTGCTTGATCTTCTCAGCCTCTTTGTAGAGTTTTGAATACAATTCATTCATTGTTTCTATATTCTATTAAAACAGGTTCCACAGTTTAATCTCAAATGATATTTAATTAATAATGGTTTAGATACATGTTTATCTCTTAGAAATATCACAAGAGTAATTTTTTTTCCACAGATGGTGACACGAGCTTATATATGATCAGGAACCAACATTTAAATCTTTGTGTATTCGCTCTGTATGTATCAACAGACATTAGGGGACAAGAAAGAGACACAAACACAAGTGAAAAATACCCCACCACCTTCAGATATAGTGACATTGTTAAAAAGATAAGTCTTAAAGATACAAATAACTGCACTCCACCAAAAGTCAGTAAAAGTTTTGCTAGAATTATCAGTAGAGACAGGATTCCTTCTATTAGATTATTCACACCATTTCCCTCCTTACTCTGACAAATACAGCCGAGTTAAGTAAAAGCAGCTCCAGAGATCTTGTCCAAGTCTACCTGAGATACGTTTTTGCAGTTAACTCATACACAAAGCAGGAAGAAAAACCAAACAGCCTTGTGCTCTTACATCTTTAAAGTGCTGTACAAGCAGCGCTTGATCAGTGGTTTAGGCAGGTAAGAGCAGCACAGTAGACCACAGGGCAGTTCCTCAGTTTAGTATGATGTCCCCTAACGCTATCCTTGTTCTGGCTGCATCAGATTATTACAGTCCTGACTGTACTTTAATAGCTGCTAGGGCTAAAAGAAGTTTCATCCTCAGGGATATGAAAATCATTAGGAGGACTGCAAGAAATATGTTCCATGTTGTTGCAGCAAACAGCATGTTATATCTGGGAAGCTTTACGGAGTCATACTAAAGCAGGAGAGCATTGGTAAAGACACTATAAGAAGAATCAAATGCTTCAGGAAACCACTCTACTAAACCCATTGTTTATATTATAGATAAAATAAAGCCAGACAGGCAATTGGAATAATCTGCTTCAAGTTTCCAAAGAATACTCTGACTTCTGAACCAGTTTCACAAAGATATTTAAGTGCCTAAATCTTATTCTGATTAGAACTCCAAGACTCCCCAGGCACCTGAAAAAACCCAAAAACTTGGAAACCCCCTTAATATTTAAAGGTTTATCTCCAGGCATATTCACTGAATCACAAATACATCCCCTACGTGATTCGGCTTTAAACAGTAGAGAGAACATTATTATTCCCTTTTGACTCCTTCCTTTAGCCCTGAAGCATCTTCTGAACAGTGATTTAGGCACTAGTTTAGGAACAAATTAAGAGACCCTAAGAAATCAGATATGCAGAGTTTATACTTAGCTGACCTCTTCATCTACCTCAGAGCAAAGTTTTACTTGCTGTGAAATCGCATCTGAAATATGAAGAGATTTTGATCAATATATTTCTAAAAAAGTAACAGCAGAACTGTATTTAACAGTGAGACAGCTATGAAGTTATTAAACTACTCGTGAAAAATGTCAATAATATTTTAAAAATGTTAAAGACTGTGCAAGGTAAATGCTCACTTTAGTCTTACCTGAATCAGTGATTTCACCTCGTTTCAGTGTACTCATCATTACAAATGGCAAATTAAAATCATCATCTGGGCGCTTGTTAAAACCCTGCACAAATTTAAAAATCAATTTCTTATGGGTAGATATGTAAACAAGGATTATAAAACCCAGAAAAAAAAAGTACAGCTCGTGTGAAAATAGAATTTTCCATCAATAAATCAACTACCTACAGTTTTCAAAGGGCAAGGCACTGGCAATGGTTTTGGAACTCTTGCTTGCTTCATCCTTCACAGGGGCTTTTCAAGCTGTTGGTCTTTTGCAGTTTGCTTTATAGACTACATTGTGGCCAAAGTGTAAGTTTTTGACAAGAACTTATTAGCTATTACATGCCTGTACACAGCTGCATGGTAGAGGACTCATTAAGCAAAATTATTTCTCAACTCCAGTACTTGATATTTTTTTGCTTTATTCCCAAGAGAACTCCTAAAACATGTCTGCTTGTTTTAGAATTAAAATTTCATTTTACAAGGTGTTTTAAAAGAAGTCACTGAAATTCATCTTGTAAATAGTGTAACTCATCTCCTATCAGAATATCACATTTGAGTCTTCACCTACTGCATAAGGAGCCTCAACATGAAAAAATACCTTGTTGAATTCACTAACTTGGAGCACAGCGACAGAACATTTGCACCGCACACCTGGTCTGGTGGGACCAGCACATCAAAGCCAGTAAGGTTATGAGCAGTGCGCTTCCCTCTTACTGTTCTGGAATACCCACAGCAAGCGCATACTTGGGGTGGGTGGTGTACAGACAAAACACATAGCAGATGCTCGAGAAGACGATTCTCTTCGGTTTTAACAGAAAAAGGTAAAAGTCTTTGAAATTAACACATAGGATGTTGCCCCCCAGCGCCAATCATAACCGTTTGCAGAAAGATAGTTCAGCGCACACACTTCCACGCGTTCTCGCGCTTTCCAGGAGGCAGCTCAGGCCTTGGCCTGGGGGTGCCGGGCGGGCCGCTCCCCCCG